TCTCTCTCTCTCTCTCTCTCTCTCTCTCTCTCACTTCTTTCCTCCACCTTTCTCCCTTCTGCCCTCAACTCGCTCCCCACTTCTCTCTCAGTCATCTCTCAGTCAACGCCTGTATTTTCACAGCCTTTCTTTCTTCCTGCCTTTCTCTCTTTTCACTTCACGCCTTCTGTCCTCCTTCCCTTCTTCCATCTCACCATACTTCCACCTATCTGTAAAAACTACAGGCGTTCATTCATGTGATGACCATCGGGCACAAACAGGAAGTGGCCCCAGTAATCTCAGAAGCAGCTCTTAAAATCCAGCAGTCCCTCTTTAACAGCACACACACACGAACACACACACACACACACGAACACACTGCGTATGCTGTGAGCAGCAGTAATGGCCGGCCTCTGCGCCTCTGCGGCGGCTTCCGGGTGCACATGATGCAGAGAATCACCAAAATGAAAGGCTTGAGTCACTTTGGCATTGTGCCCAAGTTTGAGGGTTTGAAAATGTGTGTAAACTTCACATGCCGATGACAGGTGTTAAGTGTAGCGGCAGCAGTTGTGCACCATACTTCACAGACCAACTGCTGATCTCCTGTCTCCCGTCGGTCATTAATCACCACAACTCTCATTGTCTCGTTTCTCTCTTGTGTAGATTCACAGGTTCCAGTTGACATTTCCTCAGTGAAAAGGGACCATGACTTCTTGGACGGGGATCTGGTGGAGCCGTTATGTCGGTGAGGTCACTAATGCACAAACACACATCTTCATACAGTTCATTCATACTCAGCAGTCGCACATGAGGAGCTCATTCTCATCCACTACGCATTCCACTCATCATTTAACACCATTAAAATCTCAAAACCCTTTTCTGGTCCCGCTGGTTCTGTTACTCCAACTTGTCCCCGCGGCCTGGTGCTAACCACTAATCATGAGTTGTCTGACCCTGACCCTTAATGAACTCCCCATCCCTGTCTCCCGCTCAGACACCCAACCTTTGATCCCGTCGCCTCCCCTCCCCTCCATCACGCTCTGATCTCCCATTCAAAGAGCAGAAACCCTCAGGGGGCAAAACGAACAGGGGCTGAGGGTAACAAGGACGGAGCGAGGGGGAAGCTGATGTGCTCTACCAGATGGGGCTTTGAGAGTGTGTTTTAAGTACGTCTGCACACCTCGGCGATGTTTCAAATCATTGAAGTTTTCCCCACACACCCCTCCCTTCCCATATCTTTCTTTCTCCTCGCCCCTGTGTGCCCAGTGTGTATGGTAGAGGAGGGTGTGGTAATTATAGCCTTAGTGATTCCTGACAGATATATTGCGAGTGAATACAGTCAGGTCTCCTGTCTCAGGAGCTGTAAAACACAGCTAATGAGGTCTCTCTTGTTCATGCATTGGTCTTTAAAAAAAAGACCAACCTTCGTTTTTTTAAAGAACCGTTTAGATTTAAGATTATAGACTCATGTAGCGTACAGAGCTACAGTCTAAATCTGTAATGTGGCTACGCTGCAGGAGAAATATAGGGTTTGGAGATGACAGTGGCTCCCTCTGTATTTTCCAGCTCGTGTGTTTACTCTCAGCAGTTGATATGACAGCTTTCGGCTTTCTATTCTTCAGGTTTATGTAGCAACAAGCGAGCCCTTGTCTGCCCGGACAGAGAAACATTGTACAAATCAATGTGCTATTAGAGGCTGAAATCTTTCAAATGACAAAGGTCTCAAAAAACATGTTTTTAATGTCCCCTGTCTTGAAAAGACACACAGACACAACCCTTCTACCCAGCTGCTGTTCATGTCCCTGGAGTTGTAGGAAGGAGGGAGGATGTCGGTGGGAAAGGTGGGGGCAGGCTGCAGAGTAAGGTTTGGTAAGGATTCTAGCCCCCCCCCCAGCAATCCAGAGGATGGACGTGAAAAAAAAGGGGATTGGAATGGGTGACATGATGAAGGGAGGAGAGAGGCAAGTGGGGGAGGAGCTGTCTGTGTTTTGGGGTAGGATTTGCCCCTGGAGGGTGAGGATGCCAGAGGAGGAGAGGGTGGGAGGAGGAAGGGATAGTCCGAGAAGAAGATGAAAGAGGGGGATGAAGAGGCTTGAAGGAAAGGGGGAAGGTGGGAGTGAAAAGAAAGATAAGACAATGAATGTGAGCAGAGTGAAGCCAGAGACAGAACACATCCAAGCTACCAGCTCTAACATGTGTGACTGTGTGTTGCAGACGTCTAAATACTCTGAACAAGTGTGCCTCCATGAAACTGGATGTCAGTCACCCCAAGAAGAAAGTAAGCCAATTTATTATTATCTATATTATTAGCTGTAGTAGTAGAATTGGTGTTATTATATTATCATTATTATTATCATTGTTATTATTGTACCACACATTTTGCTGTAATATCCTTGTTTCATTAGTTTCGATAACAGTATACAGTATATTATATTTGTCGTAGCTATGTGACACACCATTTGATTCCATTTATTGTTCTTACCTGTAAACCTGGTGCATTTACATTGGTCACAGATAAAGTTCTGTTCATCAAACTGGATCAATGAAGAGTAACGGCTGCTCATTGACGTACCAAACCACACATCTTAGCTAAACACTTCAGTCTCAGTCTGAACTTTGTCAGGTCAAAATGTTAAAGCGCGCAGACGCAGGGCGGAGCAGCAATCATTCCAGTCATTCCATGTGACATTGTGTTAAGATTTGATTTATTTATTGTTAAACAAGAATGGCCATCAGTAGAGCACATGCCTCTGCCGAGGCTCAAAAGACCAGTTTCCTAAATTTGCCTGATTTTCCTAAATTGGGATCAATTAATTATTTTAATCTCACACTGTTAAAGAAAGAGACGGAATTCCTGGATCTGCTCCCGACCTGCACCAAACTTTAAGGGGTTCTTTCCTGACCCATACTGCATTATCTTACATGTGTGAAAACAAGATGTAATAATTAATCATAATTTTTGTTCACTTAAATGTAAAATTATATGTGTGAACACAATTATTTCTGTTGTCATTCATCACTTCCTTTATCCCTCCACAGGGTTATGACTCTGATGAAGATGACCCGTTGGCGATCAGTAAACGGTGGACGTTTGAGTGGAGCAGCCGGCGCTGGTCTCGTCTACAAGACTTCCTGTTGGACAGCACCACTGACAGCAGCCCGACAGGTCAGGGGGAGGGTCTGCGCAGCACAGTGAGCAGCGAGAGCGTCCTGACAGACCTAAGCGAGCAGGAGATCACGGAGATCTCCTCGCTGCACAGTGAGGACTCGACCTCCGCCATGCCCGACTCCATATCCATGGCTTCCCTCTCCGCTTCCTACCAACCACCCAGTGAGCTTTCACACTACAACTCCCTGCCAATCAAAAGCAGCCGCCATGGGCAAGGAGGGCGGAGCAAAGCCAAAGATTTTTTGCGTCGAATGGAAGTAATGCGCACCTGGGGGCCGTCAACGAGGCGGAAAAGCTCAAACCGACGCGCCGCCCTCGTCATCAGTGGGCCGGTGTTACAGGGGGAGGAGCCTCAGGCACTGCAGGTGCTCCAGTGTACTCCCATCAACCAATTAGAACCCAGTCCTACACTTATGCACCAAACTGATGGCGACACTTCTGCTGACACACTCAGCATTGATTTTAAAGACCAATCCATGGTGAGAGTGAGCGCCAGCAGTGAGGCAGTGACGGCCAATGTGAAGGAGCCGAGGAGCATGAAACCACGCACAGCCAGCAAGAGAAGCAGCATGTATCTGGAGGACATGGAGCTGCGTTCTCAGGGTAAGAGAACTGATGGACAAAGTCAGTTTGGCAGAAACCAATTTCATTCGTATGAAAACCTCCTCATTCATATCCCCAAAGACCATAAACCAGGCACCTTCCCCAAAGCTCTGTCCATCGAGAGCCTGGCGCCTTCCCCAGGTGACAGGACCAATGGCCCTCAGACACAGACCCAACCTTCTACACCCTGCAACGGCCTGGGTGAGCCCTGGTCCAACAAACCTCTCTCCAAGCCCCCCTGTCCCGGAGCTCCGCGGGGCAGCAGGGTGAGCGTGTACGACAATGTGCCGGGCTCGCACCTGTACGCCAGCACGGGAGACCTGCTGGATTTGGAGAAAGAGGACAACCTGTTCCCTCACCTGGATGACATCATCCAGCATGTCAGCGGTTTGCAACAAATCGTGGACCACTGGAGCCGCAGCGTGCTGCCCGAGGGTGACACGGGGGAGGAGGAGGGGGAGGGCCGGACCACCCCCAGCGAAGGTGAGAGAGACGGCATCTCCCTGAATGATACAGATTCGACAGGGACCAGTCGGGAGAGGCGGGACTCTGGAGTTGGGGCCTCACTCACGAGACCACGGTGGGTTTGAGGGTTTTAAAGATTATTTGGTTTTATTACAACTTTTAAATTTTGTTTTATAAAAAGTTTTAGGTTATCAGATAATTAGAACTTGCAAACACCACTGCAAAAAAGCCTAACAGCGCTACGAAAAATCTGCCAGACCAACTATGAACAAGCAAAGACTTTATTTGGTGGAAAGACAGAGTGAAAGAGAGAGGGCAACCGAAAAGTCAGTAATAATCAAATCAGGCAGATAGGTTATGAAAGTGAGGGATGTTAACAATGAAGACTTAATGAGTCATAATTCAATTTTTTTCTTTTTGCTGGAGTTTGATAAACCTTCATATTTGGAGCCAGTGTGAGGACAGTGTGATGGTTGTACTTCCTTTGTCCAGTTATTGTGTTTGACTACAAGGATTTTATTGCAGATAGGAAAAACATCCAAAACAATGATAATAGGACCTCATTTGTGTGAAGGAAGAATTATGCTTCAAATGGATCCATTAAGTCATTCTGTAACGTTCTTTATTCATGTATTCTCTTCTCATCCCAGTCTGCGATGGCCCAGTTTCAGAACCTCTGATCATCTCAACCAGCCGGCATCCTCGCTGCAGATCAGCAGCCAGTCAGCAGGCCAGCTCAGCCTGCTGCAGAAGTTCTCTTTGCTCCGCCTCACTGCCATCATGGAGAAATACTCCATGTCTAATAAACACGGCTGGACATGGTGGGTCCACATTCTTCAAAACATCTTGTAGATTGTTTCGTGTCTTTTTCCATTTTTTACTCCTCTCTACAAACTGCTGAGAACTTAAACTGTCATTCATACACTGATTTGTAATGCAGGGAATTTACTAAATGTGATGTCAGACAGGGAAATTGTCTGAAAGTTTAATAAACTTACAATTAATAATTAAATAATCAATGTATTTTTATATAAACAATAAGAGCAAATGTATTTATTCTTATTACCTTATTTCCAATTCTCTATTTGAACTAAGGCAAGCACAGGCTCATCAGTGTGTTTTTAATGACCCGTCCTGTTTATTTTTATTATCCCCAAGAGGGAAATCCTGCTCAACATGAAGAGTTAGTTAATGAAAGCACAGACATTTCTTTCTCTCACTCACTTCCCTCATTTTATCTGTTGCTCCCAGGTCTGTGCCCAAGTTTATGAAGCGCATCAAGGTGCCTGACTACAAAGAGAAGAGTGTGTTTGGTGTTCCCCTCATCGTGCATGTCCAGCGCTGTGGTTTTCCGCTCCCTCTGTGTTTACAGCAGGCGCTCAGCCACCTCAGAACACACTGTCTGGACCAGGTTAGTCTGGACTTTTTTCCTCATTGTGCTTATATTGGTTGTTTATGTTTTAAAAATGAGGTAGCTTAATTAAAACCTTTAAAAAAAAATCCCTCTCTGCTTTCTTCGTCTTGCCCTCAGGTGGGATTGTTCCGCAAATCGGGCGTGAAGTCTCGTATTCAGGCTTTGAGGCAGCAGTGCGAGTTGTCCCCTGACTCCGTGAACTACGAGGACCAGTCAGCTTACGACGTGGCCGACATGGTCAAGCAGTTCTTCAGAGACTTGCCTGAGCCTCTGCTGACAAGCAAGCTGGGGGAAACCTTCCTGCACATTTACCAATGTAAGTCGCCTCAGAGCAATGATTCCTGTCTGTGAAATACTGCATCTGCCTCAACTTTCAGACCAGTGAATCAAAGTCACAAGTTGAATTATAAAGTAGTTTTCATTGCAGGTAACGAAAGGACACCACAGTCAAATCAATACTTTGATTTTCTTTTGTTATTTTATTTTTGATCATACCCAAATTACGGCAAGTTCTGGACAACATTAGCTAAGTTTTACCAAAAAATAATGATCAAGATTTTATGTTTGAAATGTTTACATGTCCACTCGGAGACTAGATCAAATTTTGGGTGTTGGTGGCTGATTGGTCAATTGTCCACTGTTTGATTCCCAGCAAGGGAACTTATGTCAATGTTGGGAAATGTGACTCCTTCTTTTCCTCCTCATGTCCTCTTTCCTCTAGATGTCCCGAAGGAGCAGAGGTTGCAGGCCATCAGAGCGGCCATCTTGTTGATGCCGGATGAGAACAGGGAAGTTCTGCAGACATTGCTCTTCTTCCTGCGCGACGTCACTTCCCTGGTGGAGGAGAACCAGATGACGCCGATGAACCTGGCCGTTTGTCTGGGGCCTTCGCTCTTTCACCTCAGCATCCTGAAGAACGAGACGCTGTCGCCAAGGTGCACATTTGAGCTCAGAGAAAAACTCAGTGGTTTAAGTCTGTTGTTATTAACAATGAAGATTTGTTGATGATATTTGGTAAAAATGTGTTGTTTGTCATTTGAAGTGAATTACAAGTTATAATGTTCTTCCGTTTTTTTGCTACTTTTATCTTGTTTTATTGTCTCATATCTGTTTTAATTGTGGCTATTGTTGCATTTTAACTTGAAATAGCAGATGTATAATACTAATAACAGTTACGGTCATTGTTATTTCGCTCACCTATTTTCCTCTGTAGCCACCGGGACAATATCAATGTCTGTATTATTTCTCTCAAGGTCGATCCAGAGGAAGTACACCACTGGCCGTCCTGATCAGAAAGACCTTAGTGAGAACCTGGCCGCCACTCAGGGCCTGGCACACATGATCACCGAGAGCCAGCGTCTGTTTCAGGTCAGGATTTACTTCTTTATTTGTTTGATAGTTGTTTGTTTCCTTCATAGTTAAATATGACAGAAATTATACCATTCATTGTGCTGACTAAGAAATAATACATGTTCACCTCGTTATGTGTGAAAATAACAAACAACACAAAAGCCGAGAGAAGTTAACGCTGTATAACTGTTTAATGAGCTCAGTTCTAAAGCTGTACATCATCATTACCTTGAGACTGTCAGTGTGCACAGTATAAACTGCTGCTGTCAGTGGAGACCTCTTCAGGGACAAAGACAAACACACTTCATTACCATGTGTTACTGAGTTTAATGTAGTTCAAGGAGTTTTTATGTTAGGAGTCAACAGCTGTGAATACTGCACTCTACCAAGAATACTTGAGAATACATGAAAGTGACCCGTGTTAGATTTTAAAGGCCTCTGCAGATAATATTTGAAAGAAGAGAGGACCCTGGATATTAGAATAAAAAACTACATATAAAATAATATAAAACTAGTACAGTTGTTTTTTAAATATGCATATCAAAGTGGTAATTAGGCCTGAGCAGATGTGACACATTCTCCGGCTGTTCCCCAGATCCCAGAGGAGATGGTGACCCAGTCTCGTAACTCCTACATGGAGGCTGAGCTGATGGTGCAGCCGCTGGACGAGCTGTGCAAGGCTAATGAGGAGGACGTGGATGAGGAGGAAGAGGAGGAGGATGAGGAAGGATCTTATCATGCACACATAGAAGGCCTGGTCCAGAACCTGCTGAAAGATGCCAAGGACAAGAGCAAAGTCTGGGTGTCACGCCCAACTGCTGACCATTCAGAGCTGGCTTTTAAAAAGGTACATCATCAGCTTCTGGAAGTGTGGAAAGAGTAACCAGGGAATATCAGCATCTCTATGAGATTTTATGAATCTAACAGGCATGTGTTTGTGCATCAGGTGGGAGATGGTAACCCTCTGCGGCAGTGGCGTGTGGGCGTGGAGGTGCCTGCAACTCCCAATGAGGTGCTGCAACGGCTTCTTAGAGAGCGCCCCCTGTGGCAGACTGAGCTATGGCAGGAGAAGGTTCTGGAGACGCTGGACAGACAGACCGATGTGTACCAGTACGCCTGCTGCAACATGGCACCTCATCCCAGCTGTGACTTTGTGGTACTAAGGTCAGGACTGATGTATTTCTTTGGCATGTTTTGTGTGTTCAAGTTGTTGATTAGGACATTTGAGCAGCATTATTTTTAAGTTAGTATTAGAATAAGAATATTCAATAAATTCTGCCTTAATTCCCCCTGAAATTCAGTAACATTCCTAAAATAACATGAGAATTCGCTGCTCATGTGGTTTTACAGAAATAAACTAGTAAGTTTAATTGTAATTTGAATTTTTGGGTTGTTTTTCAGACATGAAATGGACATTTTTCATTGATGAGTGTATCTACCCACACATAATTTGATTCAGTAGGTTTATGTGGAAGTTAGCTATGTGAATAAATATTCACATTCACATGTCTGCATTAAATGTCTCATAAAACCCACATCTTTTCTCTTTTTTGGCTCTCCGCCTGCTCAGATCGTGGCGCACAGATCTGTGCAAAGGTTCCTGTGCGCTGGTGTGTGTGTCCGTGGAACACGAGGACAGCCCACGCATGGGAGCGGTGAGGGGGGTTGTGCTGGAGTCGCAGTACCTTCTGGAGCCCTTTGGGATGGAGAGGACCAGGCTCACACACATCTCCAGAGTGGACCTCAGGTGTGGACGGACTTCAAGTGTCCTCACAGTTAAGGTTTCAATCAGCAATGCAATTATTGATGTGCTTTAACTGCTGTTTCTTGTTACAGGGGAAGATCTCCAGAATGGTACAACAAGGCCTTCGGTCACTTGTGTGTTAATGAAGTCCAGAGGGTCTGCTCCTCTTTTCTCCCTCCGGATCAGACGAGCACTGAGGCCAAGATCTGAACCCCAGGAATCAAGCTTTGTCTTGGGTCACGCTGCCGAAGCAGCTGATCCAGGAGGGGAATCAACCAGGAAATCGACTTTGGTGTCTTTTCATGCTGCTGAGCCACACTGAGCCTGCCTGTACCATAGTGTACTGAGTCACAGTCATTCACACACACGAGAGTATTTGTTTTATCATGTTATCATGCACAGGCATCTTTAAACATCAAGTCACTAATTTATTTTCCAGTGTACCGTAGAACAAACATTTTAGTTTGTTCTTATACATAATCAGCTCTTAACCATGTGCAGTTATTGGAAGTTATTGTCCAGTTTCTTGATCAAATGAAACAGCCTGCGTCGGCAGGTTTGATCATGAGATGTTTGCCATAGTGTTTGGTTTAATCTGCAACACCTTAATTCAGTCCTTTGGTAATTGTAATAGATTACTTAACTGAAGCTTACACACAAACTTATTTTGTAGTTGTGTATTGTCAAAGTTGGCATGAAATGTTACTCATATTGTACGCAATCAATACCAGTCCACTAAATATGCCTGATATTTTTTAAATCAAGATCCATGGCTAATTCTCTTGAACATTTTGGAAAATGATCTGTCAAAGAAAGTGAAATAAATACCTTATCAACTCTGGTAGAAATTTAGTTATGTATATTTTATGTAACCTGCTAAAAAACAAACAAGTACACAAACCAAAAGTTCACGAATGAAAACATAACGTCTTCCGCAGACGCAGCAATTTCTCTATTTTCATAGAATAGACCTGAAAAACAGGAGATATTCTCTCCAGTCTGTTTTTGTCATTTTAGACATTGTCAATTTCAAAAAGCCACATTGACAAACATCTGATGATGACATCTTATCTACAATTATTATTTGATTAATCTTTTAAAAAACTAGTGGAATCTGGATTTTCTTATACCTACATTTATAGCATGCACTTAATTATTCTTTATTATTCTAGAGCCTTCTACAGATACTGTAAAGATCCATAGGAATGACTAAGACCAGTACAATATGGATACATGACAGCACTACATTGTGAAAAGTGCGATAGTTTCAGGAAAATAGAGGACACAAGGGATCTGGATCACAGAAAATGGGAAACACTCATCGGGTCCATAAATGTGCTTTAACCGTGTTATGGAAACATTGAGTTGGATATCACTGTTGATTTAGTTCTCTGTAATTATTTTCAGTGTTAATCTTATATAAATTAAATGTTATTTTAAAGTTATTACTGTCATTATCTCTCCGTTCATGGTATCATTGTGTTTTTATTGTCATTTATACAATGTCTAAGACATGAGACCATTTCACTGCTTCTGGGAAGCTTGTTTGAATATTTGCGTGTGTGCATGGATGTACCTGTGTATCTGCATTTTATATATACACCCACGAGTCTGTGTTACAGCGGGGTCCAGAGGTTTGGACCCTGCTGTAACTAATAATATCTGACGCTTTCTGTGCTGTGGCAGCAGATCAACCTTCATTGCTTACCTACCTATCATATTGATATGCTGAAATGTGAACTTCCCACACAGCATCCTACTAAAGCAATAGCAGATTAGAGCTTGCTCCGCCATCGGCACTGCCTTGGCTTTTTTGTGTTTCCGCTGTGAGCAGTGTTGCTATGGTGTTGCTATGATATAGTATCTCTACAGTGACACCAAAGTCCCATGTGGATGCTGCTTGCTGGAGAACCATGTGTGTATGTGTGTGTAAATATGTGTGTATGAGACCGACAAAAGAGCGAGTGAGTGACTTTGACTTGAGCCCTCGGCTGAGTGCGGAGAGGTCCAGAATGGAGTAGCTGATGGGTGCTCGGTTATTTCTGACAAAGTGACGGAAAATAGAACCGTTGTTTCTAAACAAGAGAATAAAAAAATGTATGAATTCAACAAATATGTTCTCCAGTGTCTCTTTTATTCAACTACTCTAAAGTTACAGGGCACAGTGTGAAGACGAGACCTCCGCCAAGGCCCAACAGTCGCCTTGTAAATCCACATTTACATTAGATTTTGGATGTTTGGATCAACACCAAACTGCAAACTCTCAAATCAAGAGAAATTTTGCTAAATGCTCCATCTCACAATGTAACAGGGAAAACAAAATCCTGGATCCGCCCCTGATCTGGATACACACCAAAATCTAAGGTCATGCCCAACCCCTGTACAAAGGTGAATGTAAATCGTAAATAGTTTTTGTGTAATCCTTTATGAATATCAAACAGATAAAACATGACGTCCTTGGCAGAAGAACGATTCATAGTAAACACTGAGAAACACAGATAACATTTTCCTTTGTCCTGTGCTCCTTTGTCCATTGAGTGGTGCTGTTGCCCTGCTGGAGTCTGAAGGTCATGAATGAGAAAAAGTATGCCATGGAAAATATTTTTAGATAAGTGAGTGAATGAAAAGTCTGTGTGTGTGTGTGTGTGTGTGTGTGTGTGTGTGTGTGTGTGTGTGTGT